ACCAACCCAGAACAATATACACACCACACAACATCATACACGTACGAACACACACACACACCCAACACCACACAACAACAAACAACAACAACACACACGCAACAACACAAACACAACACCACACACACACGCATCAACGCACTCACACACAACAACACACATACACAACACCACCAACAGACAACACCACGCACACAACAACACACATAACAACACAGGCACATACGCACATACACACAACGACACACACACCCACACACACAACAACGTACCCACAACAGCAGACACACAACATCACACACATACACACACGCACAACAATTCACAACAACACACACAACCACCAACACACACACACATACACTACACACAACAACACACAACAGTACACATAAAACAGCACACATATCACACACACGACAACACACATTCAACACACGTACAACACACATACACACATGTACACACGAACACACAAGAACACACAACATCACACACGTACACACAACAGCACACGCACAACAGCGCACACCAACAACAACACTTATCAACAACAACACACGCACACAACAACAACACACAACAGCACACACACGACAAGACACGCCACACACGCCACACACGCGACACGCGAGACACGCCGCACACGCCACCCACACGGAGAACACACGACACACACGCCACACACGCAACATGCGCAACATGCGCAACACATGCAACGCAGCACAGACAGCACAACACACAGCACAGGCAGCACACAACACTCAACCCACAACACAAGCAACACACAACACACACCACGCACACAAAACACAACACACAACACACACAACACAACACACAACATACAACACACAACACATCCACATACGCACGCACGCATGCACGCACACACACGCACCACACATACATACACACACACCTGTTGACATCGCGGCCAAGCGCGCTGTAACGCTGCGGAGTCAGGCGTGCTGGAGTGGCGAGGGACAACCAAACACACACACATAACGCACGCACACACGCGTACATACGCACACATACGCGCCCACACACGCGTACACACGCGCATGCGCACACGCAAACTCACGTGCACCACACACATGACATCTTCTACGGCAATCGCAAGCACCTCCTCCAAAACTGCTTATACGATGCATGATCTTTACCTTCAGCATCACGGGAATCCGGGACGGGTCAGATCTCGTTTCTTTCCTCGGCATGCAACCCACAGATCAAGGTGCGGAACATGCACTTGGGATTACTCACAACCTGCTGGCAATAAACACACATTCATGGGGCTTCGTGTGTGTGTGTGTGTTTGTTTTGCGTGGGCGCTGGCCAACTCTTTTCTGCCTTTCAGCAGCCTTGTGAACACCTACTGGCATGTGCCTGAGTTGAAGCTTTCTTCTGGTTTCGTCGTATTGCTCGAACTTGTTGCTGTAGACTTTGGCCTTCCTCCACGTGCTGTTCCTTGCCTGAAACTGTTGTTCTTGTTTGCGCATGCACACGTGCGGCTAAGCCCATCTACACCTGATTTCACGATGTTGAGCAGTCTTTGACGTCTAGTCACTTCTGTAAATATTTGTTTAACGTCACAGATGATTTCGCATGTTTGCACTTACATGCGCTCGCTTGCTCATGGTACACGCCCATTGCACATTGCTTGCTCTTGCGGGCACTTTTTTACAGCTTGCCAACGCTCCCTTCCAACTGATCACAATTGTCAGAATCAATTTTTGACTACAATTCCCGCCGCTCGCGTGCACGTGCATCCGCTCGCTCACACCTGTTCCGCCCGCCTGCACTTGTATTGGCTTGATGAAGATATCACGAATATTGCGAACATGCGGTTCAACTGCGACGCTGGCAATGTAAATCCCATGTGGTCGTCTTTTCCACCCCTTACTATTATACTTTTACCCAACTCTCTAGAATGTACTAACTACGCAACAAGACCCGCTAGTGGCTAAATTCATGCGCTGCCCGACGTAATACTCTCCCTCGCTAGGCCAAAACGGTTATCCCCATGCCGGGCACCAGGTAGGCCTGGCCAACTGCAATACTGTCGTAAGCAATGGGGCAACGTGGAACTCCCCCCAACTCCCCCTTGAAAGCGTCGAACTGTTCGTCACGTTTCGGGAATGTATGACTGCGGTGCTGTCGCAATGTCCATGGCTTCCAGCAAATAGGCTGACTCATGGTGTATTCAGGGCAACCCTGTGAGCAGAAAGCACGGCTAGATGGACGATTTCGGCCGTTGGAATTGTAGCACGTGATCGGTATCGCACCAGAGATGTCATACATCGGGTCGTGGGAGACGGCTCATGTCTTGATGGCTTTTGCATACATCGGGGCACTGAACACGACATCATTCGTTTTGCCATCACATTGATCAGCGCAATGGTTTCGACCATGCCGTGCCACTACGAGTGCAGCTCTCGCAACAGACTCACTTCTGTTACCAATCGGGTGACAAGTCGCGCCGCTGCCTGCCAGAAGTGTTGCGCTCTAAGCCCCGCGCCAACGTTGCCATTCCTCCTTGGGAGTCATGGCCTCGGTTGCGTCCAGTCGCGACGGGAATACCGATCCAACACCAATCAACATGCCAAGCACCAACATTGAACAACAACGTGTAGTCTGATATGCATGTATTTTGAGTCGATATACTTCGCTTGCGGGCACTGCCTACAACGAAGCAGATTGACTCGGCATGGCGTCATACATTCAGACATAGGGCCCTCCTAGGCCCCTTCACGGCAATGATGCCATCCCAAGACAAGCGCGTCTGTCAGGTGTTCCAATTTGATGGCTCGGCTGCCACCTCCTCTGGGGCTCTCAACGGGAAATGAAGACGATGATGATGCTGTTCGAGGGGCGTCTCTTATATGGGCGTGCAACCACCAAGAGAACTCACAAGAACAACTGGTCCAGCAAAAGATATCAACTCAACAAAGACGTATGCTACAGTGGTGTTGGCTTCCGGGGCCCCTCAACAGACAGTCTGATGCCTGCCAGACCCGAGGTTTGGGGTTACACATCGTCAGATGCAAACTATCACCTTCGAGAGGTACTCGAAGAAGCGCTGGGGGACGTTCCTCGAAGCGGCTTACCTGGAAGCTGCTAGAGGAGAATGAATAGCTTGTCGCGTAATGCGTGGGCGCAACCAGTTGATGTACATTATGTTAGGGAACTTGTGCTGTGTTGCGCGACCAGGAAACAGATATTTCTGGGCAGTCTTGCACAAGAACTTGACACAACTCGGAAGCGACTGGGCGTTTCTCAGGCCGTCTTGGCAAGACCTGAAAGATGGCCGGATGCAAATTGGCACAATGAAATTCATGCCACTTCTAATCCGCTTCTAGCTCAATTCAAACGAGCCCAACGCCAATCTAACCCAATGCAATTCAACGCAATGCCTGGGTTTGCTTCGAAGGCGTTTTGCCGAAAGGACTCGGAAAACACCGATGGTGGCCTGGGACATTTTCGAGGATGTCTTGGTGACGACCTCGAAGAAAACAAAATGACATTCACACAAATCTGACGTACTTCTTCCACATCAAGCCGATACAAACATGCACTTGCTTGTCCGTAACTTTTGAAATCCAATTAAATCCAATTTCCTTCAACTGACTTCTTTTCAAGCGCGCGCGCATCTATAAATAAAGGTTAGCGGCGGGCAACGCACGGCTACCCTGCAACTGCGACCTTCGCGGCCCCCTCTCTGGCCGCGGAAACCATGTGCCAACACCTTCACGACACCACGACACCGCGAAACACAACACTACGAAACCGTGACGCCGCGACATGATGGCACCCCGCGACGCCATGATACACAATGACAGCACAACGCCACGACTTTGCGACACCAACACGATGCGATCCTTCCACGATCCCCCGCGGCACCCGACAGGTCCCGCCAGCCGACGAAGCAGCAGCAGGAAGGACAATACTTTTTTCGCCATTCGCCCTAACGGCCTGGGGAGCTCGCGCGCACAACTTCGCACACAAATCGCGCGCGACACGAACACGAATTACGCTTTCTCGGCGGAGGCAGCTTCAACAAAAACTTCAGCTTCCCCAAAACCTTCAATATACCACGGGGCGACTGATAGCAAGCAAGCGCACCAACGCATCCTCGTAACTCTGACTCGTGCTGGTAGGGGCGGCAGGAATATCTTGGACGCATTCATGTGCCTATGCCCGCCCTATGACGTCGCACACAATCCAGCGGATGGTCCAGTTTGCCACAGCGGGCAGTGGACACGAACAGCCCCTCTGGAGCTCGACCTCTGGGCCGTGGCCCGAAAAGCTACACTGGCTGAAGGTTGGCAGACGACGTAAAAAGATGGACCACTTTGTCGACGTTGTTAGTCCAGGCCACCTAGCTTCGCGCATTGCGCCCCGCGATACGCGGGCGTCTTCGCGCCTTCGTGCCGTCCTCTTGGGGAACGGCAGCCGGCCTGGCACAATCCGCGACGCGCGATGCGCGATTATCTTCGCGCTCCTCGGGGTGACCTCGTTAATGAACCACCGCCTATGACGAGGAGGCATCTCGTAGCGAATGGCGGAGCCATAGTGACCAATTCTGACGCTGACGGTGCGAGATGGGAAAGGGCAAGGAACAAGAACACGAGAACGAAAGCTCGACACCTTACGCTGTCCCTGAACGACCCCTCCACGACTAGTCAATCGGCGCCTCACCCAAATCCGCAACTGCAGGGCTTACGCAGCAATCGGAAGTACGATGAGAAATGTGGACGCCACCGGCCCTGCCTACCATAAGCCTCCATGCAAAATAACATCATATTGACTGCTCAAGGATGGTCAACGCCTGTAGGAGCGATAGTATAGACATGACGGCACCACGGTTGGATATTAGCGCGGTGCACTTGCCCACGCAAGCACTTCCTGTCGTATTCTCAATCGATACTCAGACGTGTACGTCGTTGAGAGGGGTGGACCAAGCAACGCCTCCTCCTACTCCTCGCGCGTAGCTCGGAATGAAGTTCGAAGTTGCACCACCGACTCATCCACCTGCATCACGAGCTGCGATCTTGCAACGCTGGCGTGGGAAAGTGCGCCTCCTCCAACTCCTCCTCCGATTTGCTACCGCTACTGCTGTCGCTTCTCGCAGCGCCAGTTCGGCGCGAGGCGCCATGGGGCGCGGGCAAACACGCTCTGAGCGGTACCAGTGTGACGCGGCTGGGAGCCTTCGCTTTAGGGTGCCTGCTTCATCCCTTGTCGGCCTGGCCCCCTCAATCTCCCCCATCCGCCCCCCTCTATCCCACCTCCTCCGCCTCCTCCCGCCTACCCGCCCGCCCCCTCCCCCTCCCCCCTTCTTCCCCTCCTCCCCCTTCCCGCCACTCGAACATCCCCCCTCCCCCTCCTACCCGCCTGCCCCCTCCTCTTTCTTTTAGTCCTCCTCGCTCCTTCTCTCTTCTTCTCTCCTCTTCTCTCCTCTTCTCTTCTCTCCTCTCCTCTCCTCTTATCTTCTCTTCTCTTCTCTCCTCTCCTCGTCTCTTCTTCTTCTCTCCTCTCCTCTCCTCTCCTCGTCTCTTCTTCTTCTCTCCTCTTCTCTTCTCTTCTCTTCTCTTCTCGTCTCTTCTCTTCTTCTCTCCTCCTCCTCCTCCTCCTCCTCCTCTTCCGACGGCGCGGTGGCTCTCGACGGGCCCTGGGCCTCGACCCCTCTCCCGGCGACGAGCGAGGGGGCCCACGATGGCTCCGGCGTGGCCCCGGATGGCCTCCACGATGGCACAATCTGGTCCAACATGCCTGGCACCGGATACTCCAGAGTTCGTAATAAAAGGGAGGGGGTCTGGACCCTCCAAGACAGGCCATTTCAGACCCCCCCCCGTGGGAGAACCCTCCAAAACATCGCCCCCAGACCCCCCCAGGCCCTCCAAGATAGCCTGGAAGAGACCCCCCCCGAAATGAGACCCCCCCGATGGCCTCCACGATGGCACAATCTGGTCCAGATTTCGTAATAAAGGGAGGGGGGTCTCATTTCGGGGGGGGGTCTCTTCCAGGCTATCTTGGAGGGCCTGGGGGGGTCTGGGGACGACGTTCTGGAGGCTTCTCCCACGGGGGGGGGGTCTGAAATGGCTTGTCTTGGAGGGTCCAGACCCCCTCCCTTCTATTACGAGATCTGGAGTAGTCCAACAAGCCTGGCACCGGATACCTCCCAACCTTAGCTGCCCCGATACGCAACACGCAGCACGTAGCGTATTGATGCGGAGCTCCGAACGGAGACTGAACACGTGGGTCTGACGCGACACGCTCGCCAAAACGTAGGCCGATACGTGGAGCCAACACGCAACGTATTGACACGGGCGTGTTGAACACGGCGCGTGTTGCGTATCAAAACGGGCGTATCGAGGCAGCTGGGCTTCCAACATGCCTTCAGGATGGCAAGAAAGCCTCCAGGATGGCAAGATGGCCTCCAAGATTGTTCTTGTTCCAGACACCTTCAAGTACGCCTTCAAGAAGCCCCAAGACTGCCCCAAGACTGCTCCACGTGGCCTCGGAGCCTCCCGACGACGCTCCCGAGAGGTCCAGATCCTTCAATCACGGGCGGAACAACAACGATTTGTGCCTTCTCGCCTTTTCCCTTCCGATCGGCTTCCGAAGTCTCAAATAGCTCGAAGATCGCCCAAGAAAGCTTCGAGAGGGGCCAGGAGGGCTTCAAAACGGCCGCAATAGTGCCCAAGAGTGCTCCAAGAGCGTCCCAAGAAGCCCCGAGATGCGATTTTTCGGGCTCCGACGGGGGGACTGTAGTCAGTCTTCCTTGTTATTTGATCCATGGCCTCCAAGATGTCCCCAACAGGGTACCCGAGGCCCCCAAGACAAGAGGGCCCCGAGAGGTTACCAAGAGAGGTCCAAGAGACTCCTAGAGGTCTCTGAGTTCACCATTGTTGGTCCCCTTTCTTCGCTATATGCTTGTCGACGTTGCTCCTCCCGACAACTCCCCTGAATATCGTTTCTGAATGGGTTGGTGGGGACAGGGAAGCTTCAATGATTTGACGGGAATGCTGACGCAACGACGAGGAGCTTCTCCTGGAGGCCAGCAAACTTTGCAAAGCGCCCCGTTCCCCATGGCCACCCGAGCCACTTCCTCAGCCTGGATCGATCTTTGACGGCCCCGCGGCCCGAATCGAGCCCCTGGAGGCAGAAACCGGCGAAAAGGCGCCATTTTTACGATGCTTCTCCCTGTCTTCCCTGTCCTCCTCCTGCCTCCTCCCCCTTCTTCTTCTTCCTCCCCCCCCCCTCCGCGTGCTCCCACGCGCGCGGGAGCGTGCGGGGAGAGGGGGGGGGGGGGGAGGGCAGCGCGGGGCGGGAAGGGCGGAGGAGCAGGACGCGAAGGAGGAGGAGGAGGAGGAGGAGGAGGAGGAGGAGGAGGAGGAGGAAGAGGAGGCGGAGGACCAGTGTGAACCCAAGACCCATCGATGTTGCAGTAAACCCTCCCTCCGAATTCCCTAGTCATGGATCCCTGCAAGGATCTTCGCCCACTGAAAGAACTGTCCTGCTGGAAGACAACGGTCGCAAAATTCTGAACCGTGCCGAAGCACCATCCCTGGGACTTCGACGCCGCGGATCAGCGCTCCTGTGGCGTCCTGACGGTGCGAAAGCGTGCCAGAACACCGTTCCTGGGACTTCAGCACCGCGAGTCAACTCGACTGTTGCGCCCGGACAGTCCTACATCGTGCCCATACGCCACTTCTCGGGAGCGGCCAAGAGGGGGGTGTCCAAGAGGGGGGGGTGCAAATCATGACCGGCGGCATGTGCGCGGCCCAGCGGGGGGGCCGGGAACGTAATGAAACAAGAAGAGGCGCCACGAGATCTGGGGAAATATCATGGCCCCCGCCATGATATCCACCCCCCCCTAGTCATCACCCCCCCCTTTTCCGCCCCCGAACTTCTGGTACGAGAATCTTCGAAGCTGTGGCAAACTCTTAGGGCGAGTGTGCGTGGCGCTGCGGCGATGTCCCTATCTTGAGCAGGAGCCGCCCTCCAGCCGCGAAGCCCTTGCGAGCTTTGAAAACGAATAGGCGGCGCGAAGCTGCGTCCACATTTTGAAAATCACCCAATCTCCATCTCAGGAACTCGGTCGTTGTCGTCGTCGCTCTGGTCGTCGTCGTCGTCGTCGTCGACGTATTCGTTTTCGTCGTCGTTTTCGTCTTCCTCGACGTCGTTCATTTCCACAGGCACCCGGAGCGCCCCGGATCGGCGGCACTGGCCGGAGGCCACTACAATCACCCAATCTCCATCTCAGAAGCTCTTGCAGACTTTTAAAAGACATGGGCGCGGCGCGGAGACGAGAATCACATATCAAAAACGGCCCGACCTGCATCCGTGAAGCTCTGGTGAATTCTAAGCCCAAGGATCATTAGTGGTGTAGAAGTCTCAAGCGAGACGCCCGACCCGCCCTACTGACACGTCTCGGGGTGCGACAGGGAGGACATATTTTTAAGGAAAAGGGATGGGGGAGGAGAAGGACGAGGATGAGAAGGATGGAGGAGGAAGGAGGACGAGGAGGGCGAAAGGATGATTGGGGGAGGACGGGAAAGGATAAGTGGAAGGGGGGAGGAGAAAGTTGACGAGGAGAACGAGGAGGATGAGGAGAGAGGAGGAGGAAAGATGAGGGGGAGGACGACGAGGAGGAGGAGGAGGACGAGGAAGGAGGATGAGGAGGAAGGGGGAGGAGCGAAGAGGGGGAGGAGGAGGAGGAAGGAGGAGGGGAAGGAGTAGGAGAATGAGGACAAGGAGAATTGGAGGAGCTCTGCCGTGCGCCAGAGGCCGGGGCTCGTCTCGAGCTGCGGGACCCAGGCCTGCCGCTGCTGCCGCGCGACACGGGCCGTGGCGGCGTCGGCTGCGGCAGTGCGGCGTCCGCGTCCTGGTGTACCGGGGAGGCGGGCTGCGATGGCGATGGCGATGACGATTGTGATGTTTTCCAGCATCGTTTAATTGATGGCGATGGCGGCAATGACGATGGCGATGTGATGGCGATTGTGGTGCTTCTGAACACTGCTTAGCCGATCCCCATCCCCACTGGCGTGGCCCTGGCCCCACAGGCCGACTTACCGAGGAGGTGCGGATGTCTGCCCGTTCCTCCGGGCTTCACGGGGCCGATTCCCACCTGGGAGAGTGGGCTGGCGGGGCCGAGGTGCCATGACCCAATGGGAACGGGCATAGCTCAGACGATGACGATTACAGTGTTTCCCCCCCCTGGCGGCGCGCGCAAAACGGTGGCCCAATGGGGTGGCCTTCTAACAGGGCGGGAGTGCTTCTAAGAAGGCAGACGCCTTCTTAGAGGCCCTCCCAGAAGCCTCAGGCCCTTTTAAGAGGGCCCCCGCTTTCCAAGAAGCGCGCCGCCTCCCTAGAAGGCCCCCCCCCTGGCGCCACCCACCCCCTTGCGGTGCGCGTCGCCCCCCCCCTCCCCCCCCCCATACACACACTCACACACACACACACACCCGTAGAACAACAATCCCACTAGGTGGAGTGACGTACTGATTTTGGTAGAGCATCAGCCCACTATGCGGAACAGCGCAGTCCGGCGGAGCAGCAGTCCCGCTTCATGGGATAGCGTAGTCTTGTACACTAATGCCTGCGCCCGCGGCGTCACGAGGCCCAGCTCAATAGAGTGCGCGTCTGAGAACTCTCAGTACCTCGTTGGATCCATCGCTTTGGCAGTTTCTGGGTCGAAGCTGTAGACGGCGCCCCGCGGGGGCAGTGACGACTGTGGCGTTGGTGCAGGTAGTTGCGCCTCTTGTTCCATACGCGAAGGTAATGTCTGCATGATGCACTGCAACCTTTGGTGCTCTTCTGATTCCTGACGACCGTGGTTTTTCAATGTACATACGTATATACTGTATCGAGGTGTGTGTGTGCATACATGTGTACGTATACACGTCTATTTGTATGCTATCCCGAAAGAGCGCTTTCACTTCGGATGTCTTCATTGTTCAACTAAGGAATTCGGTGGGTAGCCCGAGGACTTTTTTGGTGCTCGCCCCGTGGCCGCTCAACGCAGCTTGCATCACATATCTTGCACCACCTAGCTTGCACCGCACAGCGCGCACCGCGCAGATTGCACCGCGGAACCTGCACCACACAGCCTGCACCATACAGCTCGCACCACATCCCTTACACCACGTACAGTGGAGGTCCGTCCACAAGACACCTTCCACAAGAAATCGCCACGCCTTCCATCGCAAAACCATCGACACCTAAGAAACCCAGGAGGCAAGCAGGGTGTTTCTTGGCATGGGCCCCCACTGTAGCTTGTACCACATAGCGTGCACATCCACTACGCAAGAAAGTGCATCTTTCTGAGGGACTGGCCCTGCAGGCCGTCCGGTGGGCGCTGGACAGGGAGACAAGCTGTTTATGCTGTTTTTTCCTCTTCGAAGTTCGGCCCCCACTTTTCTGCTCTGCTCGAGAACCCCGCAGCTCAAGAGAAGGGGGGGAGGCGTGGGGAGAATCCCCCAGTGGCTGCTCGGACGCACCCGTGCCCAGTTTGGGCGCCCCCTGTCATGGGCCCCCGAGTTCTAGAGCAGCAAAAAAATCATAAACTTAGGTCGGGCATGTCTCCCTACTGGCGGATTTTGGGTGAAAACTTAAGAATACCGAAAGAATACCCCCAACTAGTTCAACCTTCCCCCCGAAAAATAATCCGCATCCTTTTTTGTTTCCCCCCTACTTTTGAATATTCCTCCTGTAGAGGGACAGGCCTGACTTAAGCATAAACAGAAACTTTCGGCGCTCCGCGCGGATGTCTTGGATCTGCGCGGAGCGCGCCATGGGGCGGCACACGGAGGCGCCGCCAGGGGGTCCAGCGCAGATCCAAGACATCCGCGCGGAGCGCCGAAAGTTTCTGTTTATGCCGTTTTTCGTGCGGGACAAGTGGCGCAGGTGCTTCTGTCGGGGGCGCGCAAACATGGATTAGCGATTCATGGATTTGGCACGCGGTCGCCAAATCCATGGATCGGAGGAGGTGCCCTCCCCAGAATGCGGCCGGCGCCGCCTCGCTCGGCGGCGGAAATCCGCGATTTCCAATGGAAACGGGACCGGTCGCTAATCCATGCCCCCTTGATCCATGTCTGCGATCGCCTGAAAGTGGCGCAAGTGCTTCTGCGGGACAAGTGGCGCAGGGCTTCGAGGACGTCCAGGCCTTGTCGTGCCTGCTCGGTGAGCTTCGCGCCCTTGGTGTCCTCCCAGTGGCCGAAAATTTATGTCTATGCCGTTTTTTCGTCTTCGAAGTCGGCCCCCACTTTTCTGCTCTGCTCGAGAACCCCGCAGCGCTGGGGGCCAAGGCAGCTCCTCCCCCGGAGCCAGGCGGCGCACCCAACCCAGGCCACGCGAAGCCTTCGGCTCCAAGTAGCATCGTGCGGGGCGGCAGGCCCGGAGGAGTGGCGAGCGACGGGGGGGGAGATGAGCAGGAGAAGGCCTTCCCAGAAGGCGGCGGGGCTTCCCAGAATTCCCTCGGCCTTCCGAGGAGCTTTGTTGTTGTGGTTGTTGTGGTTGTTGTGGTTGTTGTGGTTGTGGTTGTGGTTGTTGTTGTGCATTTGCCCCCGCACCGTGAGCTCTCCGCCTCCGCGCGGGCGCGCCTCCAGAGAGGGCCTCGCCTCGGGCGAGTTTCCTCGCTGGCGGCAGGCGGGCGGCGGAAGGTCGGCGGAGAGAAGCGTCTTAAGTCGGCGGCGCAGAGGGTCCCCAGGCGCGAACAGCAGATGGAGATGCTAATTGCGATCGAACGTTGTCGAAGATCGAAACTATCGGTGATGCGTCGTCGATGCATCACCGATGCATCGACGATGCATCGATGATGCATCGGCGTTGTCGGCGATGCGTCGGCGACGTCGGTATGGACAGAATCGGGCTCCACATCGAGCCGCATCGGCGATGCGGAGCGGTCCTCCGACCCTATCTACTCCGACCCCATCTAGGAGGGATCATCAGGCGCGAGCAGCAGATGGGAGTGCTGATTGCGATCGAGCATTGTCGAAGGCACCATGTACAAAGGAGAGAAGGGTGAGTCGTCTTCGAATGGGCTGAGGCCCATTGGGGGGGAGGGGCTGTGCTGGCCCAGCACCTGGTCTGGCCAGCAGAGAGGCGGGGGAGAAGGGGCCTCCTCTCGTGGCCACGGCGGGGCACGGCTCGAAAAAAACTCGTCGACCCCGGGAGGGGTCCAGTGACCGACTTTGGATGACTTTGCCCTCGTCCCGCCCCCCCCCCCCTGGCCGATTTCTCAGCGCAGACCACCCGGCCGCTTCCAGGAGGCGCCTCCATTTCGGGCTCGAGGTCTCTTCAAGGACGGCCATGTGATGCTCCGCCTCCCTGCGTCGGCGTGCTCTCTTCATGTCAGGAGGAGGAGGAGGAGGAGGAGGAGGAGGAGGAGGAGGAGGAGGATGTTCCCCACGCAGTGCTTGCACTCGGCTGCGCATGTTGTGCCCCTATGGACCTTCGGGGGCGGTCTGCCCGCCCCCAAGACGGCCGAAGGGAGCCTCCACTCGGCGCACGTCTCACACACTTCGTGCTTCCTCCTCCTCCTCCTCCTCCTCCTCCCTCCCTCCCTCCCTCCCTCCCTTCCTCCCTCCCTCCCTCCCTCCCTCCCTCCCTCCCTCCCTCATGGACTACTCCCAGGCGCCCTCAACTGACCTCTCAGACGGTTCAAGGGAGCCTCGATTCGGCACATCCTTCACGCACGTCGTGGTCCACGGACCCCCCAAGGCCTGTCAGCCCGCGAGGGTAGATGATATAAGGGAGGATGATGGAGGATAAGGAGATGCATGCCTGACTGCATGCCGGGAATGGCCTCGCGCATTCCGCCGGCCCGATGATGCCACTCTTAAGAACATATCCTTCCGCACGCCCCTTCTGCAGTTCGTGACCCATTGGCTTCCAGGGGGGAACTGTGGCCCTCAAGACGGCTGAAGGGAGCCTCAATCCCACCAGCCCAGAGGTGAATGGTCTAACGAGCTCGTTTTGCTAACCCCCTTCTTCCCCTTCCGGGATTGGGTTCCCCTTCCCCCTGCCATCTCCCCCTGGGTCTAGAGGGAGCGTTCCGCGAGGGGTGTGAGCGTCCAAATTGACCCAAGATGGCTCCGGGAGGGCCCCAGAGAGCCCAAGATGGCCTCCAAGATCGCTCACGATAGCCCAAGATGGCTAAATATAGCTTCCAACATGCCTCCAGGAACCTTCAAGGCCGCCCTAGGACGGCTTCGAGTGCCCTCCGATCCTCCCACGAAGGCCATCCCAGAGGCCCAAATCCGTCCTAAGCCTGAAAACAACCAATGGTTGCTGCTTTCTCCCTATATCGTTTCCGATGAGCTCTTGAGGTCCCTAGCTGGCTCCAAGTTGGCCCAGGAGGGCCCCAAGAGAGGCCCAAAAGGGCCCAAACAGCGCCCAAGATTGCCCCAAGAGTGCCATAAGAGGCTATTTTGAAGGCTCCGACGGGGGGGGGGGGACATACTTAAGACCCCCCGTTTTTATCGATAGCTTCCAAGATGGCCCCAAGAGGGCACCCAAGATGGCCCCAAGACGGTCGCATGCTGCTACGCATCCCTGATCATGGCAACTCGTTTGTTGTCTGTTTTGGAATGGGCTGGTGAGGATTTTTTGATCGCAAGCGCACCGGGAGACGTTGGACGCCGTCCAAAGGTCGCAGCAAGCGGGCTACGCTTGAATTGCGCACCAGGAAGGGGGAGGGAGGCAACGAGAGGACAGCGGAGGGACGAGCAAACAGGGGGCGGGCCTCGCTGCCGCTCAGAAGAGGGCGCCGTCGACTGGGGGGGAGCCACCAGACTGGTGAGGATATGCGAAACGTCAAGAATTCGGCACAGCCATCCCGTATTTGTGCCGTATGGACGGACTGGAGCCCGCAACTGACCCATCAGACGGTTCTAGGGAGCTTCGAACCGGCACACCCCTCAAGCACTTCGTGCCAAATGAACTCCCCAAAGTCATCTTTGAGACCGCCTGCCCCCCCAACAGACGCCAAGATGGCCCGGATAAACAACTGCAGCAAGTGGTAGCGAGCCTCGTCGAAGCCATACCCCGTCAACCCACTGAATGCAAAACCTGCGTGCGAGTTTCCCCGTGGGGCCCGCCGTGATTCCCGATCTGCGCGCTTAATTCGGCGGCCCCCCCGCGCGCCATGGCCGTGTGGATTCGCGACAGTAGATACATGGAGGGAGGATGATGGAGGAGTGGCATGCGTACACCAATGCATGCTGGCAACGTCCTCGCGCATTCCGCCGGCCAGTGATGCGTCGAAGGGACCACTTTTAATTAGTTCTCATGGAGCACGTACAATCCCACCTTCGGGGAGGGGTCGCCCCTCCCCTTTTCCCTGGGTCTGGACGGGGGCCGTGGCGAGCGGTCAGAGTGTCCAAGACGGCCTCCAAGATGGCTCAGGAGATAAAGTAAGATCGCTCAAGATGGCTTCCAAATTTGTCTAAGAGGCCCCAGGACAGCCCTAATATGGCTCCAAGTGGCCACGCAGTCTACCAAGGGAGCCACCAAGAGGCCACCATCCTTCAAATACCATCATCAAAGACATGTTTGCTTGCCTTCTCGCAATTACACTTTCGGCAACCCCTAGGCCTCAAGGTGGCTCCAAGAAGGCCCAAGACAGCCCCAAGAGCAGCCCAAGAGGGTCCCAAGACGCCACTCAGAGCGCTCCAAGAGGCGATCTTAGGAGCTACAGAGGGAGGGTGCCCTCATTAAGTACCCTCCCTTTTTTGATCGAGCTCTGCCAAGATGGCCCCCAGGGCTATCAAGAGTGCCCCAAGAGACGTCCATGAGGCCCCAAGATGCTCCCAAGAGGTTCACAAAATGCTCCTAAGACGCCCCAATAGGCCCCGAGAAGCTCTCCCGAGGCACCCAAGACGCTTCAAGAACCCCCCAGGACCGCCAAGAGGCCCCCAAGAAGTCCCAAGAAAACCCCAAGAAGCTCTCAAGAGACATCCAACAAGACTCCGAGAGGCATCCAAGAAGCCTCCGGCCTTTCTGCTGGCCCTCCTCCTCCTCCTCCTCCTCCTCCTCCTCCTCCTTCTACTTTTCCTCATCCGCCTATTCCTCCTTCTCCCTCCTCCCTCCTCCCCCTCCTCTTTCTCCTCCCCCCCTCCTCTTTCTCCTTCTCCGACTCCTCTTCCATCTTCCCCCTCTTGGGATATGACGGCTTGCGCAGCCCTTTACTCCACTGCGTGCTCCCACACCTCCCTGATCATGGCAACTCGTCTGGGCATCGCTTCTAGATGGGTTTGTGAGGGTACTTTTTGGCAAGCGGGCGCGCGAAACGAGTCGAACGCCGTGCATGCCGGGGCAGGCTGTGCCACCAGCTAAAGGAAAAACAGAGAGGCGAGCAACGCCATGCACAGAGCGGGACGGAGCTCAGCGCAGCCAGACTGGCTCGGACGGCATCACGAAGCGGCACCGGGAACACGTCCATGTTGGTGCCGAACTGGATGCAGAAGCGGGTTTGTGGGGGTACGCGAAGCGTACAAGATTACAAATGAGAGGTGCTCCAACGGCGATCCGCTGGCCTTCGAGACGGCTGACGGGAGCCACACTTCGGCACACCACTCACGCTTTTCGTGCCTCATGGACTGCATAGGGCCCTCAGCTGACCCTTTCAACAGTTCCAGACGCACTTCGTGCCCGATGGGCCCCAGAAAGGCCGTTTATTGGGCCGCCTGTCCCCTCCCCAAGGCACGCCAAGATGACCCTCAGACAAATTGGAACGAATGGTACCGAGCCTCGTCGAAGCCATATCCCGAACACCCATTGATTGCAAACTCTTTGTGCCAACTCAAACTGGGGGCCCGCCAGACTCCCGCTTTGCGGGCTCAGATGTACAGTTTTTTCTTGCAAGCTCGAGCAGAAACACAAAATATGAACAGCGTCCTTTCCGACGCCCGCGTGGGTTGCATCTGGGGGTCGATGGAGGTATGGCTCAGGGACTCGCCCCTCGTCCTCCTCGGCGACGCCGCACTGCAGAATGGGGGAGGGAGGGGCCCTGCGCCCTGCGATACTCCGTGGGTTGATGCGTAATGATACGCTGCTGGATGCGCTCCATGCTCGGGTAAGATCTCCATCAACACGTGCGCTTTGACGAAAGGATGGCAAAGAAACACGGGACACAGTCGATCTATACGATCAGCGAAAATCTGCCCGATTCTGCAATCGGGCTGCTTTTTGGCCACAGAAAGGGCGATCGAGACGACACCTTCGCCGTCATGAATCCGTCGGTGTAGCCTGGTCATTGGCAAAGATGCCGGCCCTCGCGATATGTTCACAGATCTATACCCTTGCGGTATGGGGTCTCGCTCTGCAAGGCCGAAGATACGACCGGCGCGACCCCTGGGGGGACAAGAGCACGGAAATCTGGGGGGGTGGGGTGGGGCGGGATAGTGGGGGGGTGAACAGAAGGGGAGGTGGGGGAGAGGGGAACACAATGAGGGGGGATGCCGGAGGAGGTGAGGGGAGGGGGCGGGTGAGGAGGTGCTGCTCAGGGGAAGGACGCTATAGCAACCTGTCTGCCGGCAGCACTCGCTGTGGGCTCCTGGATGTCAGGGCGCAGCCGGGGTAACCACCCACCCGCGGCCATATCCGCCGGCGAGGCCTCGCGACAACTCTTTACCCTGCTCCACTGCATGCCTCTGCCTGTCCGTGTGCCTCCTGTCACTGTCTGCCTGTCCATCTGCCTGGCTGCCTGTCTGTCTGTCTGTCTGTCTGTCTGTCTGTCTGTCTGTCGGTCTCTCTCTGTCTGTCTGTCCGTCTGACTGTCTGTTTGCCGAACGACGACGGCGTGGAAGACAAACGACACGACGACGGCGACGGACGAACGAACGCAGCAACGCGAATGACGACGACGAGGCGGGAGGGATGGGGGGAGCGGAAAGGGCAGGGTCAGCCAGCATCGAATCGGGAAATCAGATCGGGCCCGAACGTGCGTCGCATCGGGCCGCATCGGCAAGGAATCGACATCGAATCGCCTCGGCGGCGCCGGGATGCACGACAGCGCCATGCAGGCCTCGGGACGGACGCATCGCACCGTCGGACGATCGCCACAGGATCGGCTCGTGCCAGGCCGGAATCGAGATCGCAACGGACCCATCGGATCGAAGTGGACCCCTCTGGGGGGGAGCGAGACGGGTGGGGAGGGGGCCGCCCGCCAGTGGCGGCGCGCACAGGGGGGGGGGGAGGGCGCGGGGGGGGGCGGCCTCTCCTCAGGAGCCTGACAGGCTTCCAGGCACGCAGCGCCTCCGAGGAGCCTTCTCGGAAGCCCCCCCCCGGGCCCTTCTGAGGAGCCCCCCGCCCTCTCGAGAGGCCGTCCCCTCGCGCCATCCCTCTGTGCGCGCCGCCGGCGCTCGCTCCCACCCGACCGAGTCAGCTCCACCACCTGTGCAGTCTCCGAAGGCGAGGCCCTTTCTGGAACGCCGCACGTGGAGACCATCTCTTCCTGCGAGCTCCTCGGGGGCCACTCCCACGGCAGACGCATCCACGGCGCTGCATGCGCTGGGGCCTGGCCGGCGATCCCAACGGGCCCCACACACGCAATCCCTGGTGAGTGCCGGAAGGCTGGCTCACCGTGCAAGCCCAACGCCCTGACAGGCCCAACATGGAGCAAGTGGAGGGGGAGGAACACAACGGAGAAATACGAGGTGAAAAATAATGCAGGTATTGATGTTGATGCTTGATGTTGGTCTTGTCGTTGTGGTTGTTCATGTTGTTGTTGTTGTTGTTGCTCTTGCTGTTGCTCTTGCTGTTGCTGTTGTGGTGGTGGTGTTGTTGCTGTTGCTGTTGTAGTTGTAGTGGTGGTTGTGGTTGTGGTTGTGGTTGTGGTTGTGGTTGTGGTTGTGGTTGTGGTTGTTGTTGTTGTTGTTGTTGTTGTTGTTGTTGTTGTTGTTGTTGTTGTTGTTGTTGTTGTTGTTGTTGTTGTCGTGATTGCTGTTGTTGTGGTTGTGGTTGTGGCTGTGGTTGTGGGTGTTGTTGTGATTGCTTGTGCTGGTGACGATGCTTATGTTGTTGATGATCATGGTGATGATGCTGAGGAGAAAGGGGAGGAAGAGGGAGGAATGGGGAGAGGGGGGGCAGGGCAAGCTTGGTGCGCTCGCGCCAAGCCTGACTTCCTACCCCTCCCACTCATTCCTTCCTGTTGCGCTGTTTTTCTCTATCCGCGGACGCGTGTCATAGCGGACCTGGAATTCCAAACCAGATCCTATCGTGTTATGCACAATCGGAAGCATGGAGCTGCGTACAGAGGAGGAGGAGGAGGAGGAGGAGGAGGAGGAGGAGGAGGAGGAGATGCTGGCGGAGGAGGTTGCGGATGAGGAGGAGGAAAACGAGGAGGATGAGGAAGGAGGAGGACGACGACGAACAGCAGTAACAGCAGCAAGAACTTGAGTGGAAAGCGTGTGAAGAGTGTGCCCAAATTGGGCGGTGCCGCCATGTGGGCGCTGGCGCTGGCGCCTTTGGTGGAGCTCCCTATTAGGCCACGAAGCGTGAAGGGTGTGCCGAAATGAGGTCGCGCCGGCATGCGAACGGCGGCATTTAAGACTTCGTTGGTGCTCCGTGTGGGACTGCGGAGCATGTGAGCAGTGTGCCGAAATGAGGCGCGGCTGCCATGCGAACGCTGGCGTTGAGGCCTCAGTTGGAGCTCCCTGCGGGGCCACGAAGCGTGTGAGGGGCGTGCGACTCGAGGCGTCGCCGCCATGCAAATGCTGGCATTTTGGGCCATAATTCGGGCTCCCTGTGGGGCAACGAAGCGTGCAAATGGTGTGCCGAAATGAGGCGGCAGCGCCATACGAACGCTGGCAGTTGGGCCTGAGTTGGAGCTCCCTGTGCAGCCACGAAGCGTGTGAGGGGTGTGCCGAAATGAGGCGCCGCCGCCATGCGACCGCTTGCTTATGGGCCTTAGTTGGAGCTCCCTGTGGGGCCACGAAGCGTTTGAGGGGTGTGCAGAAATGAGGAGCCGCCGCCATGCGACCGCCTGCTTGTGGGCCTTAGTTGGAGCTCCCTGCGGGGCCACGAAGCGTTTGAGGGGTGTGTCGAAGTGAGGTGCCGCCGCCATGCGACCGCCTGCTTGTGGGCCTTAGTTGGAGCTGGCTACGAAGCGTTTGAGGGGTGTGCCGAAATGAAGCGCCGCCGCCATGCGAACGCTGGCCTGGCATTAGGGCCTTCGTTTTTCAGCTCCCTGTGGGGCCACGAAGCGTGTGATGGGTGTGCCAGAATGAGGCGGCGCCGCCATGCGAACGCTGATATTCGGGCCTCAATTGGGGCTCCCTGTGGGGCCACGAATCGTTTGCGGGGTGTGCCGACATGGGCACTCGGAAAGCAGAGACAGGGGAAGGGGGGGAGGATGTAAGAGGAGGAGGAGGAAGGAGGGAGTGGTGACGCGGGGCGCAGTCTCTTCAAAGAGATGACCGAACACCACAAGATGCTCGGGAGAAACAGCTCGGGTCCATCCTGTGTGTCAAAAGCTCTGCCCGGAGGGGGGCGCACGCCTCTCAGCAAGCTTTCGGGGGAGAGGGGATACTGGTATGCATGTCGAGCGCGCAACTGCGGAGGGGGCGGGGGGAACCAGGGATGGGGGCGGCACAGAGAGGGTGGATGGAGAAGGATGGGGAGGAGGGGGAGAAGGAGGGGGAGGAGGAGGAGGAGGAGGAGGAGGAGGAGGAGGAGGGTAGAGGAGGAGGAGGAGGAGGAGGGAGGAGGAGGAGGAGGATGTGGAGGAGGGAGGGCATGAGGGCTACTCGGGAGCGGAGCGCTGCTCGAGGGAAGCCGGGGGAGCGGACGGGGCGGGGAGGAGCGGAAGGGGGAAGGGCAGGCCGAAGGGGCGGAGGGGAACACACACACATATATGTCTGTCTGTCTGTCTGTCTGTCTGTCTGTCTGTCTTTCTGTCTGCCTGTCTGTCTGTCTGTCTGTCTGTCTGTCTGTCTGTCTGTCGATCTGTCTGTCTGTCTGTCTGCATGCATGCATGCATGTCTTGTATGTATGTTTGTGTGTCTGTGTGTGTATAAAGTACGTATGCATTTGTATATATGTTTATGTATGCATGCACACATGTATGTTTATCTATACATATATACATGCATAGAACTACGTATGCGTGTATATATATGTATGTATGCATATATGCATGTATGCATGTATATATGTATGCATGTACGTGTGCATGTATATTTGTGTACATGAATGCACGCATGCATGCATGCATGCATGCATGTATGCATGTATATATATATATATATATATATATGTATATAGGTATGTATGTCTGTATGCATGTATGTATGTATGTATGTATGTATGTATGTATGTATGTATGTACATATGTATGTATATATATGTATGCATGGACGTATGTATGCATGTATGTATGCATGTATGTATGTATGTATGTATGTATGTATGTATATAATTGTATGCATTTATGCATTCATGCATGTATATGTGTATACATGCATATATGCATGTATGTATGTACGTACGTGTGTATGTATGCATGCATGCATGCGCAACATGCATGTACGTATATATGTATGCATGTCTGTATACATGTGTGTATGAATGTATGCTTGTATACATGTACATATATATGTTCATATTCATAGTACACTCAAATGTGTGCTTACACACACATATATATAGATATCTAAAAAACTATAGATGAACGAAGCACGGCACAAACATAATCCGCGAACACCGCACGGACCTCCGAAAGTGGATGATTGTGGAATTGTTTCTTCTTCTTGGGTGGGGGCGGACAGATCCAGACCCCCGATGTCGTTACTTTTTCACAGCTTCGATCCCCAGAGGTCTCGACCCCTTTTCCCAGGACGGGGTTTGCATCCTCAATCGTTGCATGACGGTCCGGGGGCAGGCAAAGGTCTCCACGGGCCCAGAATCACCAGAAACCTCCCATCACGATTTTCTCACGACGCGAGGGGGTCAGGGGAAGGTGGGGGGGAGAAGGAAGGACGCCGGCCCAGATAAGGGGAAAAGGGGTGGTTTGCAATGTTTTGGGGCCTCCCAAACCCGGCTCAGCCAGTGTGTAAGGCCATCTCCAGGACCGCGAGCGGCCTTGCGAGATCCTGCAGCGATTTGTCGTTCTGGCCGAGCTCCTTCTGCGCTGAACCACGTGGCGTGCGCCCTTTTCGTATTTTTCCTTCTCCTTCGTCGTCGTCGTCCTCCTCCTCCTCCCTCCTCCTCTTCCTCCTCTTCCTCCTCTTCCTCCTCTTCCTCCTCGCTCCTCGCTCCTCGCTCCTCCTCCTCCTCCTCCTCCTCCTCCTCCTCCTCCTCCACCTCCTCCTCCTCCTCCTCCTCCTCCTCCTCCTCCTCCCCCGGTGCGCCCCGAGGGAGAAGGGAAAAGGATGCAGGCCGGCCCCCCTGATGGGGGGATGTGCGGCCTGGAGCGGGGCGTCCAGCTTCCTCCATGCCGACAGGCGTGGCAGGTTCGCCGGGTCCGGCCTTCGGTGGGGTGGCCCGAGGGAGGAGACGAGGAGGGGTAGGAGGAGGAGGAGGAGGAGGAGGAGGAGGAGGAGGAGGAGGAGGAGGAGGAGGAGGAGGAGGAGGAGGAGGAGAAAGAGGAGGAGGAGGAGGAGGAGGAGGAGGAGGAGGAGGAGGAGGACGACGAGGGAGGGGGTGGATGGGAGGATCGGATCGGATCGGGCCATCTACGGAAACACGGTGAACGACCCAGACAGCCAGGGGGGCGCAACATTACACAGACATGCCTATTTTTATGTATACATGTGTAGATATACACATACATTTGTTTCTATATGCTTATATTTAGTATTAAGATTGACGATTCGCGCTATGCGCTTTGGTCATCGATGCTTCGCATACAGGCAGGGCGGCAATCAAGTAAAATGAACATTTAGCGATAACTCGTTGTTGCCTTGTCTGGCATCGCCGTTGCAATCATCTTATTCGTCATCCTTCCTTCATGTTTCCTCTTTCTCTTCCTCACTCTCGTCCTACCCTGCGAATTCGTCCCCATCCTCATTTGTTTTGCGGAGGATCATCGTAGGAGAGCCTCTTGGAGGCCTCACGACAATTTTTCAGGCCTTGTTGGTGCCTTCTGGAGGCCTCCTGGGTTCCTTCTGGGGGCCTCTGGGGGCTTCCCGGAACTCTGCTTCAAACCGCGGTCTCCTTGAGCGACCGGGTCACGGTTCGGAATGATTCGGGGGGCGTCTAGGGGAAAACTTAGGCCATCCTTAGGTCACTATCGCGCACTGTTCTGGAACGGCTGGCTAGCACGACAATCATTTTTTATCACACTTGTTCGGAGCATCGTTGCCATGCCAGCACAGCGCATGATTGCGATACATTCCCGCATGATTTGCTGCAAGGGAAAGGGGAAACGATAAGAAGAGAGCCGAGCAATCCACGGCAGACACAGTGAGACAAAACCAGAGCAGACGACCTCTCCTCCTCCTCCTCCTCCTCCTCCTCCATTCCTTTTCCTTATCATTAACCTCTCGCTGTCGCATCCCGAGGCCAGTTTTTAGGGCGTTCCGGGCGTTTCGCCAGAGACTTCCTCACCATTTATGACCCTGAAGCTCAAACGTTGACAGCAATTTCACAGATGGAGGGCGGGTGATTTTCAAAATGCGGCTAGCGCCTTCGCGCCGCGTACATTCGTTTTAAAAATTTGCAAGAGCTTCAAGGATTGAGGGCGGTTCCTTTTCAAAATGTGGCTCTCGCCTTAGCGCCGTGCACAATCGTTTTAAATTTGCCAGAGTTTACGGATTCCCATGATCGCTCCAGACATGGTGTTCTGGAAGGACTCAGGATTATGAGGGTACAACAGTTACGTTGGTTCGCGGCGTTGAAGTTCCAGGGATGGCATTCTGGCACGATTCAGGATCGCTCAGACGCAACAGACAGGCTGATTCGTGGTGTTGGAATTCCGAGAACGATGTTTTGGCACGCATCAGGGTCTTCAAACGGTTGTCTTCCAACGAGGCTGTTCCCTCAGTAAGGGGCCTATGAAGAGGGCGCTGGGAGGGATGGTTTCTTCCAACATCGTTGATGGCTCTTGGGTTTGCACTGGTCCTCCTCCTCCTCCTCCTTTTCGGCCTGGCCCGCCTCCACGGGGGGCGCGCCGCGGTCTTCTGCACCCGGTGCGGGAGGCTGCCGTGAGGGAGGAGGTCTTGGAGGTCGTCCACCATCCCACGGCTGCTCCCCGCAGCTCGACCGCTGGCAGGCTACCCTCTTTTGCTGCTCCCTTGCGCGGCGGCTCGGTCGCCTTCCCTGGCGCCCCCCCCCAGCTTGCGTGCCCCCACGGCTAGACCAAGAGGAGGAGGGAGCAGCAGGGGAAGAGAGGCAGGGAGGAAGGACGATCGCCACGCTCTGCCTCGCTCCTGCCCCGAGCCAGGGCGCCTGTGCCCTCCAGCGGCTGCGTCGGCGGCCCCGTGGGCGGAGGAGTCCATGCTCGCCGTGGCCAGCGCCCGGTCCTCTGTGAGGAAGACGAGCGCCCGTTGCTGCCGTTAAGGGCACGTGCTGCCACGAATGTAAGGTCGGGCGTGTCCTCCTACAGGCGGATTTTGGAGGAAAAATGCAGAATACCCAAAACATATCCAACAATAGTTAAGAATAGTCGATACATCGTACCCTGTTTTTGCTATGACAAACAAATTTAAAATACATTATATATATGTATATGTATGTGTATGTATATATTTATATACATACGTATACTAGAACCATCGCGCGCGCTTCGCGCGCGCTCAGGTTCTAGCAGGCCCCAGGCCTTGACGAATTCACTGCTCCACTGAAGTAGCGGACCACAATCCGCGCATGCCAATCTGCATTCCGAAAAGGCCTTCGAGGAAAATGGTAGTGTAGGGGGGCGGAGGCCGTATGAATCGGGTTCCCAGAAGGCCTTCTGGGAGCATGGGTTTGGGGCGTCTTGGGGAGCCTGTTGGGGCGTGCCGTCGTCGTCGTCGTCGTCGTCGTCGTCGTCGTCGTCGTCGTCGTCGTCGTCGTAATGTCGTCGTCGCCTATTGGGGCGCGCCGCCGTCGTCGTCGTCGTCGTCGTCGTCGTCGTCGTCGTCGTCGTCGTCGTCGTCGTCGTCTTCGTCGTTTCGTCGTCGTCGTCGATTCAAGAAGGCGCTTGGGGCAACTTTGTGCGAAACGATCTGCTGAGGGCCGCGAGAAGGCGATCAGTCATGTTTCCAATCAACTTCCCAGACAGATCTCCTGTAGCATGATGGTACTTCGAAGCCTCCGGAGACTCGCGGGCCCATGATGAACCATGTCCCCGGAAGGCTTTCTGGGGACATGGTTTGTTGGGGTGTGTTGGGGGGTCTCTTGGGCGTTCCCTGGGAGCCCCTTGGGGGCCTCCGGGAACTCTCGGGCCCATGATGAACCATGTCCCCGGAAGGTTTTCTTGGGATGGGGGGCCTCTTGGGCGTTCCTTGGGAGCCCCTTGGGGGTCTCTTGGGGCTTCCTGGGGGCCTCTTGGGCGCCTCACGGGGCTTCGTGGGAGCCTTTTGGTGGCCTCCGGGGGCCTACAGGCGGCCTCTAGGGCCAGAGACCTCGAAATATCGGTTGGCGGTCCCCTTCTGGGCCCTCTCTTGGGGAGCTCTTGGGGCACAGTTGGGTTGTCTGGGGAGCCTCCTGGGCCGTCTTGGGGCCCTCTTCGGGGCCTCGTGGCCCGTCTTGGAGCGATCTGAAGGGCCTCCGAGCGAGGCCGTGAGGGAGCGCTGGGAAGCGGGGAAAGCGAGAACGCCTAAATCCTTCAAAAACCATCGGAAAATTAGTGAATCTTGCCTCCCAGGGCCCTCTTGGGGAGCCTCTTGAGTCCGTCCTGGAGCGTGTCGGAGTCCTCGTCGGCCGTCTTGAGGGCAGCTTGGGCGTCTTCGGGGCCTCTTGGGACCGTCTAGGGCCCTCTCGGGACCTCCATTAACCTGTCGTGGCCTGCTTCGGGGCGGGCCCGGGCCGCCTCGGGACCCGTCTGGGCCTTCTCTTGGCGCGCTCTTGGGGCACATTTGGGTTGTCTGGGGAGCATCCTGGGCCGTCTTGGGGCCCTCGTCGGGGCCTCGTGGGCCTTCTTGGAGCGATCTGAAAGGCCTCCGAGGCCGTGAGGGAGCGCTGGGAAGCGGGAAAAGCGAGAACGCCAAAATCCAAAACACTCGGAAAACGAGTGAATCTTGCCTTCAGGGCCCTCTTGGGGAGCCTCTTGAGTCCGTCCTGGAGCGTGTTGGAGTCCTCGTCGGCCGTCTTGAGGGCAGCTTGGGCGTCTTCGGGGCCTCTTGGGACCGTCTAGGGCCCTCTCGGGACCCCCTTAGCCTGTCGTGGCCTGCTTCGGGGCGGGCTCGGGCCGCCTCGGGAGCTCTGGACCCCCCCCGCAACCCCTGGTGGGCACCGATGGGGGGAACAGGCAGCGGCCCGCCCCCCCCTCCCGGGCCTATTCCGAGATAGAGAATCATGTTCCCGGGAAGCTTTCCGGGAGCATGTTTTTTTGTTCGGCTCTCTAAGAGGGGGGCCTCTGGGGGCTTACCGAGGGGCTCCTTTTGGCCTTGTCGGCAAGCCTATTGGAAACAGAGTTGGGGCGGTGGGCGGACGACGACGACGACGATGACGAGGGAGGAGGAAGGACGACCAGGGCGACAACGACGACGGAAACGATGACGACGCCAAAGATGACGACGACGACGAGGAAAGACAGAGGACGACGACGGCGACGACAGGGAGAAGGGAAGACGGCGACGACAACGACGACGACGACGCAAGAACGCGCGCGCACGCTTTTGTTGAAAATCCGTGTTGCGAAACCTTGTGTCTTTGTATGTTTTTTGGACACTCGATTTTGAAATCCTTCCGAAACCGAGAGTTTTTGAAGGATTTCGGCATGCGCGCTCGACGACGCGCGCGCGTGCACTTCGTCCCAATTTTTTCCAGAGGATTCTCGCGACGGCACGCGCGCAAAAGCGTTCGAACGATTTCGACATGCGCGCGCGCGCCAAGTCCCTTTTATTATTTTTAAACAAGAAAGTAACACTTGAAAAACCTATGGTTTTCTTAAGATTTCCCAAGAGCGCGCGTGTAAGCTTTTTTAGGACATCAGTGTTGCGGAACCATGTATTATTCGATGTTTTTTTGGAAACTCGATTGTGAATCCTTCCGAAGCCGACGGGGTTTGAAGGATTTCGGCATGCGCGCGCGACGACGCGCGCGTGTGCACTTCGCCGTTTTTTTACAAGAGATTCTTAAACACTTATGATTTTGATAAGCGAGTGTGTGCGCATAGTATTTGTTGCAGTGGATGGGGGGCCGATACTGGCCCTCCTGGGATAGTGTAAATTCATATTTAACTAGAACCACGCGCGCGCTTCGCGCGCGCTTAGGTTCTAGCTAGGATCGTCACCGTCGTCATCATGAACATCACCATCGCCATCATTCCCCCCGCCAGGGCTAATGTACATCGTTTCTGGATGCTTCTGGCCGGAATACGAAAGGAGTTTCTGTAGTTAGAGTCTCAGGGGGAAGTCGCGGGGCCCCTCAGAATACTTACGAATGCCTCTGACAATCCCCCAGCGTGCCCCACGAGATGGCCAGAGGGTGCCCGAACAGAACCCGAGGACGTCGACGACGGCGGCGATGAAGACGGCGGCGATCGCGGCGACGAAGGTAGCGGCGGTTGCCATGGGTTAGTACCCAATCAGAGCTTGCCTCTGTAAGGGTCCTGGCGGATTAAAAGGTTCGATGAGCTTCGGCAAGATTCCGGCCCCATGCGGCCGGGCCGGGTGCCCGGGTGCCCGGGTGCCCGGGTGCCCGGTGCCTGGGTGCCTGGGTGCCCGGTGCCCGGGTGCCGGGGTGCCTGGGGGTGCCCTATCGCCCTATAGCCCTGTAGCCCTATAGCCGTATAGCCCTATAGGACTATAGCCCAATAGCCCTATATCCCTATATCCATCTAGCCCTTTAGCTCTATAGCCCTCTGATCCTATAGCCCTGCAGCCCTATAGCCCCATAGCTCTACAGCCCAACAACCCTATAGCCCAATAGCCGAATAGCCCACATAGCCCTATAGCCCTATGGCCCTAGCCCTATAGCCCTATAGCCCTACAGCCCTATAGCCCTGTAGCCCAATAGCCCTGTAGCCCAAGTCGTTTTCATCCTGAGTCGTTTTCTGACGGTCCCGGGAACCTGCGAGGGGCCCCGGAGGCCGAAAATTAACAAAAACCGCCGTCGTGATTTTTCCAAGACGTCGGAGGTCCAGGTCGTGCTTCCCGCCTCCCCAGACCTCCGACGTCGTAATTTTTGCGACCTCGGGCCCAGGAATCGATTGGGAAAACGCACATGGGAAGGCAAGAAATGATGGACCCATCATTTCGTACCTGTGCCTTGATCAGTGGGACGGGCTTCGCACCGCCGCACATCACAAGACACGCTCGAGCGGATCCAGCCGTGGCGACGTCGGGGACTGCAGAAGGTCGCAAGGACACAGAATGTGAAAGGAAGAGAGAGAAAGAGAGAAAGAGAGGGAGAGAGAGACAGACAGACAGAGAGCGAAGGAGAGAGAGAGAGAGAGAAAAGAGAGATGGAGAGAGAGAGAGAGAGAAAACAAAAAAAACATAGAGAGAGAGAGAGAGGCAGAGAGAGGAAATGGAGAGGAGGCGAGCTTGAGTCAACGAAAGTCGCAGGGAAGGGGGCAGGGGGAAGAAGGCCAGAGAGCGCTGAAGGATACAAATACTGGAACCCTCTTGGGATTTTTTGGGGGGCCTCGTCCGGCCGCTCGCTGGGAGTTTGACGTAGCTTCTCGGGAGCCTCTGAACCTGTCGGAGGCCTCCTGGAAGCAGGTTCGAAGCATTTTGGGGGCCGATTTGGGGCTTCTCGGGGCCTCCTTTGGGCCTCTTGGGGGTCTCCTGGGACCTCTTGAGGGGCCTCCTTGGGGCCTCCTGGCGGCCTCTTGGGGCGGAAGGCTCGAGCTTGCGGTTCGTGGTCCCCCTCTGGGCCCCCTCTTGGGCCCGTCTTGGGGCCCTCTTGGGCCATCTTGGGCGCCTCTTGGGCCGTCTTGGGGCCCTCTTGGGCTGTCCTGGGGCCCTCTTGGAAGCTTCTTGGGCCGTCTTGGGGCGGTCTTGGGCGCCTCTTGGGCCGTCCTGTAACGTCGGAAAGCCCAAAAGGCAACTTTGTGAAACATGTACGTTTTACAAAGGGAATGGGCCAATTTTTGCGTCTAGGGGCCCTCTTGGGGCGCATGTTGGAGGCTTCTTGGGGCGTCTTGGGGGCGTCCTTGGACGTCTGGAGGCCATCTTCAGCATCTTGGAGCGCTCTTGGAGGCCACTTGGAAGTTGCTTGGGCCGTCTTGGGCGCTTCTTGGGCCGTCTTGTCTGACCGGGGAGGCCTCCGGCAAGCCCCGACGAGCCTCTGGGCCCCCCGGGGCCCACATTTGTGGTCGGGGTCCCGGCCTCGGGCCCCCGGACCCGGTGCGCCGTTATATGTGTAGATGGACGATGGGGCAGAATCCTATGTGTTTTGCATCGGTTCCCGGGGGATCTTTAACCTCGGGGGGGGAGGGTGGTACAACCTATATTCTTTTTTTAGAAAAGAGAACCTTATGTCGGGCAATCTATGTGGTGCAATCGATGTGGCGCAAAGCAACGCTATGCAAAGCAGCGCGATGCAAAACAACGCAATGAAAGGGGGCGGGGACGGCGACGACATAGCCGCCAAACCGCCACCCGAGCTCACGCGACGGGCGGCGACGGGGCGGCGTCGGCGAGAACATAGCCGCCTGACCAGCAGCCAGGCCCGGACGACGGGCGGTCACGAGGCGGCGACTGCGAGAACATGGCCGCCAGACCAGCACCCCTCGAAGGATTGCAAAAAAAAACCCTCTTGAACGAAGGATTGCAAAAAAACCCCTTCACTTGAACGAAGGATTGCAAAAAAAACCCTTGAACGAAGGATTTCAAGAAAACCCTGGTTTGTTTTTTTTTGCAATCCTTCGGTTTTTTTGCAATCCTTCGCCCTCTTCCCTCAGACAAGCAAAAAAGAATCCCTCAGTGTCAACACTTCTGTAGCAAGCAAAAACCCCTTCACAGTATTGCTGTGCGCTGGGTAGAATTAACCACGGTCTTCTTACTGGAGCTTTTAGGCTACCAGTGAACTTCAACGTGACCGACCTTACTTCGAAGGACAGCCCGCATCTCGACGAAAGGGGGGAGGATGGGAAGTAGGAGTAGGACCATGTGAAAAATGACTTTCGAACGAGCCAACAGCATTGTAGTCAACGCCGGTAAAGCCCAACACTTGCCAATTCGCAGGGGACATGGCCGTTTGGTGTGCGAGCTCCAGCGCGACGCGGGCATGACTTTGGACGCGACTGCCCGAACGGGGAAGCCAGGAAAGCAGCCGGATTCCACCACGTTCTAAATCGATTGTTGTGCGTTAGCTAAAACTCAAAGACAGCTTTGCGTACATCACAAATCAGGGTTCAGAATGAATGGTAAGACGTCGTTTCGCTTCCTCAATCACGGCTCTGCCTGCGACGACTCGGCGAGCAAAACATATGCGCCGTGCCCCAGCGGGAGCACAGCTTGCAAGACACTTCTGCGCGGCACTGACGCGACAACGACGTTTCGCTCTGTCGCACGCGATGATGTGTGCCGCGTCCCATGGCTGCCGTGCCTTGTTTTTGACGGGCAAAACGTCCATGCTGAAACTAGACAAAGAAAAACGCCATAAACATAAACTTTTGGCGCTCCGCGCGGATTTCTTGGATCTGCGCTGGACCCCGCTCCCCGGCGTGCGGAGCGCGCCAGGGGCGGCGCCGGAGGCGCCGTCAAGGGGGCCCAGCGCGGATCCATGATATCCGCGCGGAGCGCCACAAGTTTATGTTTATGGCGTCTTGTTTCTTCGAGAACCAAAAGAAGATGGGTGCACGGGGCTCCTGCTCGGGAGCCTCTGCGGCGGACGTGTCCGCCGGTGGGACGTCGGAGTCCGCGCCCGCGGTGCCGGCCCCGTAGCTCCAGGCCACGCAGCCTCGCCACGCCGCGCTTCCCCCGTCGGGGGGGCGCTCGGTCGGGGGGAGCCTCCTCCCCCCTCCTGCCTCCTCTCTCCGCCTTGGCCGATGGACAGGGGAAAAGGGCTCGAGGGGGAGAGGGAAGGGCCCGACCGGGGTCGAAAAGTGAAACGGTGCAAAGGCCTGGGTGAACCCACTCCAGCGAGGCGCTGGGCTGCGGACAATTCAATGCAGTACGCATCGCGCCATCGCTTGCGCTGCCCGCCCACGCGTCTGGATTTTGCCACGTGCTTGCGAGATGGCCAAATGAGAACTTCGCTTACCAGAACTCGTCGATCCAATCTTCGACGCCGCACAAGGTGGTTCGATTGTCGCTCGTGCTGTCTGCTCGTGCAATAAAAACTGCCCCGAGCTCGTCAAGCCGCCGCCTTGCATCCGTAATTTCCTGAATTTCCGGGTTGCTCAGAATCGCCGCTTCTGATCCGCAAGTAAAGCCCAACCGCGTGCTCCGTGCTAAAAACATGGGAAACAATCGACTCAAACAGGTTCGTTCCGCGTTCAATATGTACTCGGCAATTGCAAAAGGTAGACTTTTGCTTTGTAGATGCCGTCCAGCCTGACATATAATTAACCTTGATTTTGTGGTAATCGTCCATGTGCAACTTCTAACCCAAGTCTTGATCTGCTTGATCTTCAAATGACGCTCGGAAATCTCGCGTGCCACACTTAAGCGCAACCGGCCGCGTCAACACGTCCGTGAAGACGACAATTTTGCCCACGTAAACATGTACTGCGTATTTGCGTGCTTCTGTGTCAAGAATGTGGATCATGCGCGGGACGCCCCTGAGCTTTTGATCAGCAGTGTGATTTTCCGTAAAGCACAAAGTTGGAAGCAGGCTCCTGAATCATCGATCACCACACCGTACTACATGTCCCGCGCGCCTCGCGTGGAATTGCCCCCCTAACCTCGTTTGAGAGTACAAAGTGTTGACTGCGCAACTGCAGTGAATACGGGATAAACTTATTGCATCGCCTTCCTTGACACCACTGGATGTATCACAAGCGCGGCTTTTCTCGTCCGCTACCACTGTGACAGTCTGCCTTGCGTAAAACCGATGCAGCAAATGTGCGTGCGCAAGTTGAACAACATGCCATAATATGTCTCGGAATCTGCCATGCCCATACATAACTGAACTTCAGTTTCAGTGTAAGCCCCGATCAACAATCGACGCTGCTCAAACCCTTCAGGTAAACTGCCTGGTCCACCGGCTGCCCCTGGACGATGATGTCGCGAAGCCTGGCGAGCAGTATCCTGCTGAGCAGCTCCTACAAATCCGAAAGAAGTACAATCGGACGGCGAATCGACGCAGAAGTCGCGTCGTTCTTCCAGTACGCAATTGACCATCCATCTGGCAACTGTTGGCCCAGGTCGAAGGTGAAACTGAAAATATACAAAACCAACTTCCGTAGGAAAATGGCTATCGATCTTCAACATTTCTGCTTGGATCTCGTCGCTGTTTGCAACTTTGCGAATTTTCATTTGCTCGATGGCACCTGCGAGCCCTCTGAGAGATACTCGAGACACTGCATCCAGACCAACAGCGGCATAACATATTCTAGAGTTGCAGTCCCTGGCGCTGAAATACAAGTCCCCATGACATTGCGCAGGCACTTTCCCGATCGCCTTGCCATCTTGACAAATATTACGATCCTAGTTTCGTCTGCCCGACGGTGGCAGTCTTCTGAAAACCAGTAATGCCAACGAGTCTCTTCATCCTGCGGACATCTGCCAGAATACAGCTGATATGGCGAGCTTCCCTGAATACTCTTCCCAAACTCAATTCGGACTTCCTTCCTGCTAGCCACAGGAGCGCCGGTGGGGACGAGGGTGAGGCAGAAGGCGCATGCACCGATCCTAGGCCTCTCGAGCGATGAAGTGCAAGAATAACTGGGTAAAATACCGGGCAAACTTGGCAGTGTGCCGAACGTTTTTTGGCATCATACCGAAATCGCGTTTGCATCATTATTGTAGTGGCCTCGGGCCGCCGATCCGGGGCGCTCTCGATGGTGCCTGGGTTCGCTTGAAGGCCCGTGGGGCCGTCTTGGGGCCCTCTTGGAGCCGTCGCAGGTGGAGGCCTCTGGAGGAGATCTTTGAGCCTCTTGCAGTGTGGGGCCGGCTCGTGCAAACGTGGGCCATTCGTGCGCGCACGGTGATCTTCGAGGGCGCGGGGGGCTTCTCCGACGCTAGCCTCTTTCAGGATCCGATCTTGAGTTCTCCCCCCCACCACTCGTCCACTTCCACAATTCGAGTAAGAGATCTACTACAGAATTTTGAGTTACCACTGAATTGGAAATTTCGCCGAATCGACAACGAATATTTAGATTTTTCGCAAACCTACTGACATTCTACTGCTTTTTTGTAGAGTCGACGAACCCAAATCAAATTTGGCGTAACTCGATTCTGTAGTCGATCTCCTACTCGAACAATAGCCGCGAAAGCGCAGGCCTTTGGAGGTTCGCGCGGAGCCCTTGGGTTGGCGCCCGACCCCTCTCCGCGCACCCCTGGCGCCGCCTCCAGCGCCCTCCTCATCGTGCGCCCGCGCGCCAGTGGGTGGACTGCGGTAGGCTCGCGCGGCGAAGGCTCGCGCGAAAGTCTTTGACACCGCCTCGATCGTTCAACCTTCTGTCGATCGCGGCCCCGATCCTTCAAGGTTGAATTCCGTCGGGTCCAGTGGCATTGCCGTGTCCCTCGGTCCCTCTGCGTCGCAGAGCTCAGCCTTGAGCGCCTTCGCCGGCGTCGCCGGCGCGCCAACGCCCCAGGAACCTACCGTAACAGTGTCCACACGTGTCTCGCCAAGATCTTGAGTTATCAAAGCGCGTCGGACCAACATGTATACCCCCCCTTCCCCCAGACTCAAAGTTGACAGGTTCGGGCGGTAGGCCACAGGCCAGGGACAAGATGTGGACACTTCAACTTTGGGTTTGTGGGGGAGTGGTGCGAAGCAACGGCATTTCGCAACTGTGGTTGCTACATGTCGCGTCGCCTTACCGCCATGGGTGTGGACACGTTTTGTCCAGGCACCGGCGCGGCGGAGCGGGTGTGGGCAAGGAGGCCCCACGGCGACCGAAGAACTCCGCGCGGATCTCCGAAAGCTTCGGCGGCGAGGCAAAGAGGGGGACTCTCCCTTTCGCGGGCTGCCCTCGTCGCCACGGCTGACTTCGCCGCGGAGCTCTGGCCACAACGCACCTCGGGCGAGGTCCGTGGAGGGGCGGCATCGGTGCCTGTTTGTCCCCCCTTTGTCGGCGGCGAGCCCAGGGGAGCAGTCAGAGGGGGCGGGCCTGCTCAGAAGGCTCGGCAGGCCCCTGGCCTTCTGAGAAGCATGGGGGGACCTTCTCGGAAGGCTGGGTGGCCTCTGAGCAGCCCCGCCGCCTTCTGAGAAGACCTGCCACCCCTCACCTCCCCCCCCTCTCTTGGGCTCGCCACCGACAAATTTTTCCCTGTGCCGTTTGCGCACCGAAAGGTGCCCTGGCGCTTGCTTGGCACGAGGGCGCCGTCGGGATGGGCTGGCCGGGCCCCCGGTTCCCGGCAGCCTGCGCTCTGGACGGGTTAGGGGCGCGCTGCGAAAACGAAGTGCGCCGCCTGCGTGATTCAGCAATCTTTGTCGAGCTGATGGGATCGGGCCTCGACCCTGCAGGATGCGCTAGTGGATGGGGTCGTGAACGCAATTCGACCAGCCTTCCCTTCCCAGTTATGCTCCCAGCCCCTCTTCCCTAGAAGAAGACAAACGCCTTAAACATAAACTTTTGGCGCTCCGCGCGGATATCATGGATCTGCGCTGGAACCCCCCGGCGGCTCCTCTGGCGCCGCCCGTGGCGCGCTCCGCGCGCCAGGGAGGGGGGTCCAGCGCAGATCCAAGAAATCCGCGCGGAGCGCCAAACGTTTATGTTTATGGCGTTCTTTCTTCTTCGACCCCTCTCTCATTTTCCCCTCTTGCCCCCTCTCCCTCTCCCTCTCCCTCTTCTTCCCGTAGCCATGTTGGCTCAAGCCAGCCGGCGCGCGACCCCCCCCCCGCCCGCGCGTGGTCGCTGCGGCAGTGCGAGCCCCAGTGGAGGATCCCACAAAAGGCGAGCTCTGGCGAAGGCTCCCGCAGGCGCCGCAAGAGACCCAGCAAGGCGGTGGCGGTGGTCCACAGGCACGGGGAGCACCTGTTCCTCACGGACGCAGCGGCGCTGGAGGTGTACCTCGCGCACAGCCCGCCCTCCGAAGCTCTGGTGCACCATGGGGTGCTGGCAGAGCGAGCGGGGGACTGGCAGCAGCTCCGCAGCTTGCTGGAAGGTGCTCCGAAGGCGTCGCTCCCGCAGTCGATCACAGACCTCCGCGCGCTCCGCGCCCAGTCCAACAGCTCGAAGCGCAAATTCCACAAGGAAGGCAAACATGACACACACAACATGCTGCCACCAAACGGGATGAGCCTGGTCGTCACGGGCGTGCAAAGGGACCAGACCCTGTGATGCTGGACGGCTCCGATCTACAGGAGTACGAGGACGCCTTCTTCCCGAAGAAGGGCCAGAACGTGCAGGCTGGCGTGCGGACCAAGGCGCAGGATGAGCCTCATGTCCTGGAGGCTCGGTCTCAGACGGTTGACACGATCCCTCCTTCCGCCCTCACGCAGCTAGTGTCGAGCGTGAGCTACGGCGACGTCCCTATTCCGCCCTCACGCAGCTAGCGTCGAGCGTGAACTGCGACGACGTCCCCATCCGCGAGGGCTACCTGTACTCCTTCGGCTACGGTGCGAAGCCTTGGCAGATGACGCAACAGCAGTTCCTACACCAAAACCAGCAACCTCAATGGCTTCGAGGTTACAACATGGACGTGATGAACCACTACGAAACGCCACTGGCCGGCACTAGCGCCGAGCTCCAGACGCTCGATCAGACGATCAACGCCTTGAAGGATCACTTCGAGTAGCTCGGAGTGTGCAGGCTGGACAACCAGAGTACCTCTCTCCTAGAGCAGCAA